TTAATATATCAGAAGACCACAAAATCACCAAGCTTATTTTTTAGATCATTTTCAAATAAAATGTATTTATTTTTATTTAAAAAAATAATTTAAATACAATACAAACTTTATTTATACTTAAATCCACAGCTTTTAAAAATAGCAGTATTATATCAGCCATCAGCAATTCTTTGCCTCCTTCTACTTAGTGCCGTTGTTGACATCGACCATTGAAAACGCCATATCAGTTGACCAGTAGAAAAAAGTTCAGTCTTCATGGAAAGTTTTCAAACTGTCTGGGATTTCTAAGTTGTGCTCCCATAGTTTCCCAGCCCTAAAAGGGTAAGATTACTCTTACTGAAGAAAAATGTAATTGTCTTGTGGAATCAATCTGGTCATCGATGAAAGTGAGCTTTCAGAGTGACTTGACCGGACCCCTCGTGTGCTGTGGGACCAGAATCTTGATGTAGCTGAGCTGCAATCTACTTTGAAGCTCCAACCAGTCTGTGTCGCATCAGCAGTCTGTCTGGGAGTACATACAGGGGTCACCTGACCTCCTATCGATTTCATTCCATGACTTCCTGCTGTGACATTCACAATCCACACCAGTTATCCTGAAATCAATCTCACAGAAAGATTGATGTAGCTCTAGAAATATTAATTGTCCTAAAAGTATAAGACTGTTTCACTTCAGCCGTGATGGGCAGATGACTGTTGCCGCTCATACTTTCTGTCCTTTTCTACTTTAATTTCTTTGTTGCTCTTCGGGGCTCTGACTTTTCCATTGTCTCACACAACAGAGCTGTTCACTCATGACGTCAATTTGTAGACTGACCCGGGAGGAAATATTATAAAATGTCGTAACCATCCTTTACTACCATATTTTAAAATGATAACATATTTTTCTTGAATCATTATTTGCAAGATGTTTTAAAATACTTTTTTTTTCAAGGTAAAAAGTTTATATTTTTATTTCCAAATATAATGTATCTATTAAACATATATTTAAAATTATATATTGAATCTAAAATTGTCATATAACACTCAACCAAAAATTAATACTGTATTTTCTTTGAATCATGATTTTTTTAAGAATGTTTTTAAATATGTTTTTAAAATGTAAAAGTTTAATTGTTTACATTTACAAATATTTTATACATTTACATATACATTTTATATATTAAATATTAATTTCATGTATAGAATTAATATTATATTATATATTGAATATAAAAATTTTATTTGGTGTAACCCTCAAGTAAAAATTTATACCATATTTTCCTTACTTCTAATTATTTTCAATAATGTTTTAAATGTATTTTTTTTAAATGTATTAAGTTTTTGGAGAGTCACACCACGTGACATTTTACAATCTGAACTAACCTTGTCTTGTCATATAAAGATCAAATTATATGATATTTTTACGAGAATTATTGACCTTGCATGCTGTTTTCACCACATGATTCTTAAAGGGGTGGTTGATTGCGATTTCACTTTTTTAACGTTAGTTAGTGTGTAATGTTGTTGTTTGAGCATAAACAATATCTGCAAAGTTACGAAGCTGAAAGTTCAATGCAAACGGAGATATCGTCTTTTAAAATTCTGGCAGTTTAATGCCTACAAAAACAGTCATAAAACAACAAACAAAAAACATAGGCCTACCATTAAAAGCTCTGCTTGCGCAGGTTCTGCACGATTCTCTTCACTAATATCCTCTGCTTCTCAATCGAGCTCAAACTGATAAGCGATATTAACGATGCCTTTGTTTACAATACAACCGGAGCACATGCCGCTGAGGAGAGGGGCGGGACGTTAAGAAGCGCACTAGAGGCAGTTTAGCCAATCACAAAACACTGGGCTAGCTAACCAATCAGAGCCCATCGCCTATTTCTGAGGGAGGGGCTTAATAAAAGAAGGAAATTGATCAGCGCGTTTCTCAGAGAAGGGACAGAGCGGTGTGGAATAAAGGTAAATTATGTGAAAAATAATAAATGTTTTTAAAAACAAAGCATTAACACATGTTAGACTGCACACCATAAACACAATCAAGCCTAGAAAACAACCACTGAACCACCCCTATAATACAAAAATGAGAAAGAAAAAAAACACCTAGGAAAAAAAATGTGAATAAATTAATAGACAAAAAATCATGGCTGTGATGTAACTAAAGCCTACCTATTTAAATAAAAAAAGAAAGAAAGAAAGAAAGAAAGAAAGAAAGAGAAAAAAAGAGAAAGAAAGCGAAAAAGAAAGAGAAAAATAAAAATAAAAAATAAATATTGCAATAAAAAAAATAACACTCAGAAAATGATGTTGTTCAAGTGATTTCATGGGGTTTTAAAGCTATTTCCTGCTGAAGCATAGTCGTGTGCGACCGGTCTTGATTTATGGATAGTGCATTAGGGGTTTTTAAATGAGAGGGTGATTCCTTGTCTGCCTCTCTGATCAGTCCTTCTCAAATGTATGTACGTCAGATCTCTTCTGTCCTGAGCCAAAAGCCCATTTCACAGAATGACTCATCAATTCTGTCATTCTCTCTATTAACCTGTGAATTATACGCTCTAACCCCTTTTAGCCACTATATCCTGCCTTAAGTACCTCATAGTTCAATAGAGACATTTATCCAGAGCTTCTACTCTTATCTTCCACATCTCTCACTTTCTCCCTCTCATTTTCTGTTCTTTTTGCATTCATTTTCTCACTCTCTCCATGACTGTATGAATTAATTCCAAATTGTATTTATTATTATTATTATAATTTTTTTAATTTTAATTTGTATTAAAAAAGGTATATGTAAATGTAAGATCACTTTGGTGTCAATTTTGTCACCCAAACTATTAGTAAGTACACAAACACAGCGAGTAGGGATGGGAAATATGTGCAATATTAATTGACAGTTTTTGTAACAATAAAAAATAAAATAAAACAAAGCTGTCAATATTACCATGTTTAATGAACTTTTTATTTGGCCATTAATGTCCCTAAAGTTGGTGTGTTTGGTTCATTTCTATGTATTAAAATCTTTAAATATAAAATATAGGTAAATATTACGGTTTCATCTATTTTTACAGTGTGAAAAAATTATAAAATATTTATTTATTTATTTGTTTGTTTATTGTTTCATTCAACATTTAATAAATCCTCTTTAATAAATCATCAAAAGACTAAAAATTATCAAGATGTTGTTTAAAAAAATAATATTGCCCAGCCCTAACAGTGACTGTGTTGTGTGCATGTCTGGCATCAGTGGGTGTTTTTGGAGGCTTCTGTGAGATGGCAGTCTTACGTTCAGCTGTCCATGGCTGCTAAAAGCCATGGAGCATAAATGGACACAAAGAGAGTGGACAGGCTGTCTGGACCGATGGTTTGATAATTGCGTTTATAGAGTTGGCAAGCTGAACTTAACCAAGTGTCCAAGCTCAAACGAAGGTAAAGTCCATCCAGGCAGAGACAGCAGCTGTCTCTCAGCCTGTTTAAATGAAGCGATGGAGCCATCGGTGGCTTGAAGATGCTGTTCCGAGCAATCACAAGCTGCCATTGTGCTACAGCAAGAGAAAGAGGGTATAGTGCCAGTGCTGGATGAGGTTGCGGATGATGGTGGGTTTCATTTTGAAGGATGTTTATTTCTTAGTGAAGCACTTAACACAATGGTCTTCGAATTCAAGCGCAAGAACAATTGACTCAAAAATGTAATTTTGTGATTATATATTGAGAAGGGGGTCATAGTTTTGTTTGGTTAGCATGGTACATGACCAAAAAAAAAAAAAAAAATTAATAATAAAAGTACCATAAAAAGTAGTTCATAATTTGAGCACTATATTTCAGAATTTTCATTCATAACATTCAGAGTTGAGGGAATTATAGATGGAAGACTTCATTATAGACTATTTCCAAACATCCATTTGTTGAACTTTTACATTATACTTGACTGTATGGTGAATTTTATAAATATGTGTGTGCAAATTAGAATTAAGGTTACTTGTTCACACTCACACCTGCTTAGTTCTGTGTCATTTTTTTATTATTCCAAGTAGCTCATATTAGGCTATACTAATTGTAGACTCACTCTCTGTTGTACCTTTTGGGTTAGGTACTTTGCTCAAGGACTTAGTGAGGGTTGTGGGAGTTGAAGTAATTTCCAGTTCATGGGTCGCCTCTATTTGATACTGATCTACCTTCGATGCAGCGGTTGCTTCTTTGGTCAAGGTTACGTTTGTTAGCCCCTGCTGGTAGAGGCTGTAACTACACCATCTGACATCTGAACTTGTTTATTTTTTTATTTTTTTCGTAATATTACAATAATTCCAGTATTATAATTACTAATCACAATAAAATATTCTTATTTATAGTAAAAAAAAATATATATACTATTATTATTTTATATTAAAAATGTTTTTAAAAATTCTGAAATGGTCGAAAGGCATGAGTTGGATCTGGTAAAAAGTAAAGATATATATTGCCCCACTAACTTTAGAATAATTAAATGTTTCTAAATATTTTTCCCCCAATATTGTGCAGCCCTAACTTATACTTAATTAGGTGTTACTATGATCACATCTATGATTGATGTCATTGTCCTGCAGCTCCAGACTGATTAGTCACATGGTATTTACAGCTGACATTGGGTGACATATGTGAAATATGACATATGTGAAATATGTAAATTTATATTAAACTTTAGACCCTGAAACCTATCAGCAGCACCTAAAAGCCTTTAAGTGCTCTGTTATGGATAAATGATTGAACACGGCTATTTCATACCTTTTATGTGACCAAAAGTGGAGGAATGTATTTTTTAACTGTTCTGTATTGATTTAAATTCATAGAATAAAGTCAATTGTTAATTCTGCATTCTTATTAAATGCTGAATCATTTCTATAAGTAGCTGTGGCAATAAATCAATGCTAACAGTGTTTACTTAACAGCATTTCTATTGACCCACATGAATCAAGTTATTATTATAAGTTTTAACTTTTACCAACAAATGCAAATGGCTTAATAACTCTATTTTTCTTCTCCAGCTCAGTCCTTCAAAGAGTTTTCCCAGCTGCTGAGCACCATGGAAGAGGAGAGAAGGCGGCTGGTAAGTACTGAGTATACATACTATAGATGCATTTATGGTATCTGTAACCTTAATAGCTGTATATCCTTTGAACGTCTTATAAAAAAACAATTGACTCAAAAATGTAATTTTGTGATTATATATTGAGAAGGGGGTCATAGTTTTGTTTGGTTAGCATGGTACATGACCAAAAAAAAAAAAAAAATTAATAATAAAAGTACCATAAAAAGTAGTTCATAATTTGAGCACTATATTTCAGAATTTTCATTCATAACATTCAGAGTTGAGGGAATTATAGATGGAAGACTTCATTATAGACTATTTCCAAACATCCATTTGTTGAACTTTTACATTATACTTGACTGTATGGTGAATTTTATAAATATGTGTGTGCAAATTAGAATTAAGGTTACTTGTTCACACTCACACCTGCTTAGTTCTGTGTCATTTTTTTATTATTCCAAGTAGCTCATATTAGGCTATACTAATTGTAGACTCACTCTCTGTTGTACCTTTTGGGTTAGGTACTTTGCTCAAGGACTTAGTGAGGGTTGTGGGAGTTGAAGTAATTTCCAGTTCATGGGTCGCCTCTATTTGATACTGATCTACCTTCGATGCAGCGGTTGCTTCTTTGGTCAAGGTTACGTTTGTTAGCCCCTGCTGGTAGAGGCTGTAACTACACCATCTGACATCTGAACTTGTTTATTTTTTTATTTTTTTCGTAATATTACAATAATTCCAGTATTATAATTACTAATCACAATAAAATATTCTTATTTATAGTAAAAAAAAATATATATACTATTATTATTTTATATTAAAAATGTTTTTAAAAATTCTGAAATGGTCGAAAGGCATGAGTTGGATCTGGTAAAAAGTAAAGATATATATTGCCCCACTAACTTTAGAATAATTAAATGTTTCTAAATATTTTTCCCCCAATATTGTGCAGCCCTAACTTATACTTAATTAGGTGTTACTATGATCACATCTATGATTGATGTCATTGTCCTGCAGCTCCAGACTGATTAGTCACATGGCTGACATTGCTGACATTGGGTGACATATGTGAAATATGACATATGTGAAATATGTAAATTTATATTAAACTGAAACCTATGAAACCTATCAGCAGCACCTAAAAGCCTTTAAGTGCTCTGTTATGGATAAATGATTGAACACGGCTATTTCATACCTTTTATGTGACCAAAAGTGGAGGAATGTATTTTTTAACTGTTCTGTATTGATTTAAATTCATAGAATAAAGTCAATTGTTAATTCTGCATTCTTATTAAATGCTGAATCATTTCTATAAGTAGCTGTGGCAATAAATCAATGCTAACAGTGTTTACTTAACAGCATTTCTATTGACCCACATGAATCAAGTTATTATTATAAGTTTTAACTTTTACCAACAAATGCAAATGGCTTAATAACTCTATTTTTCTTCTCCAGCTCAGTCCTTCAAAGAGTTTTCCCAGCTGCTGAGCACCATGGAAGAGGAGAGAAGGCGGCTGGTAAGTACTGAGTATACATACTATAGATGCATTTATGGTATCTGTAACCTTAATAGCTGTATATCCTTTGAACGTCTTATAAAAAGTTGTATATATATATATATATATATATATACTGTATATATATACTGTATATGATACCATAGTAGTACCATATTGTTTTCCCCATATCATTGCTTTCTTGGGTGTGTACTGTATGTTTCAGACATGTTCTATGGGAATACACTCTCTATGGCATCGTGAAGCACCTTTATTTTTAAGAGTGTACCATGATGTATTTATTAAATATGATAAAGGTAAAACATTTGCTAATGCAGTAAAACAAATAAAATAAGTATTTGTTTGCAGATACCAAGAAAGTACTGCTGTTGTTTCCTGTTATCAAATTAACACTTCATAAAATCCTCATGATTAGCTGAGCTGATAATGAGAAAGCAAGTAAACAAACAAAGCCTGCATTTCCCCCTCTGATCGGTAAAACAGCAAGTATGAATCTGTCAGATAAATAATGTTTAATCACCCTGTCAGGGTTTATTTTATGATAATGACCAGTTAACGGTGTGTTATCTTGCTTTTACACAGCTACTTTACCAAATAAAAACAATTTTATTTAGTAAGAAAAAGAGACCAATAGAGCAAATCAAACAGTTAATTATACAGTTGGTCATTATATCCAAAGAGCTGTGCAATTTTTAATCAACGTATTAAAGCAGGTACACTCTAAAATGATTTTTCGAAGATTACTGTAGTATGTTTTACAAGAAAACACAATTTCAGTCTTTCTACTTCAAAATGTCACCTTTAGTTCAGTGTGCTACTTGCCATTTCTTTGTAATCATTTGTGAAATTTACTAGAAATTTCTGAGTGCAAATTGGTTCAGAATTTTTTTAAACCATAACCATGTGGCACGCTAGACTCGGTCGTACATTGTGTCTGGTTTCTGTGTGGGTGTCTCAGACCTCAGAGCTGACATGTCAGTGAAATCCAGAAGAGATGGTATGGTTAACATGTTTGACGTGTGTGGTCACTCGTCACGACTTGCAGTGACATCCGGTGGATATCACGTACGGTTCCAGTAATATGATGTACAGTTCTGGGAATATGAACCCTTACGCTGTAGTTTGACATCAAAGGTTCAGTAGTTTGCATGAAGTCACTGGTGCGATCAGCCCTTGGGCCTTATTTTCTTCTCATTGCGTCATTATTGTCCCTCCTGTTAAATTAAATGTGAAAACAGCAAACACTTCAGGCAATATGCAGCCTCATTTAGAAAAATGTCCTTAAAACGTAACCACAAAGATGTGAGAATAATCAAAATGCTTAATTAGCTCACTTAAATGGTGCTTTAATGATGTGTGTGATTATCACACAGTTACCAGCTGCTCATTTAAACCTTTAAACTACCTAACTAAATGGCAAGAATAATACATCAGGGATGCACCTTTCAGACAAATACAAAATCAGGCCATCCGTTTTTAAAGGGGGGGCGGGTACAATGCTGTTTCATGCATTCAGAGTTGTTTACACTGTTAAAGAGTTGGATTCTCATGCTAAGCATGGACAAAGTTTCAAAAAACAATTTGGACGTATGACGGAGTATTTCTGTGCCAAAAATCTTACTTCCGGGTTCGTACAAGTTTCGGAGAGTTTTTTTCGATCGTGGCACTTCATGACGTAAACGAGGGTGGAACTCCTTATATGGGCATTTTTCCTGGAAGAGCGCGCCCGTGCACGCATCGACCAGAGTGAGAGCGAGAGCGAGATCGCACCCATCAACGCGCTTCATCCGCCGGCAGCGCTGCACGGGACTTGCTCGGGAAGAATGTCTCCAATCCAAAGAAGTGTGTTTTTGGTTGTAAGGGAAAGATAACTTTGTTCAGCTTCCTAAAGAACCCAGCGTTATGTAAACAGTGGATACAGTTTGTTTTTCCGGGGCAGCAACGGAGTTTCACAAGTGTGTTTGTTGACGAACGTTTTATAAACAAGGCCCAGTTCGACGCTGGATTTGCACATCGTTTGATACTGAAGGATGGAGCGGCCCCAGCTATAAAAGATCCCGGTCATCATGATTCAGAACTGCAGACGGTAAGTGAAACGGCATCAAATGTCTGTTTTGCTGGCATTTGGCGCCCAAGTGCTTGTCACTCTTTAGCTCCGCCCATGGCGCGCCTCCAGGAGCTCGGCTTTTTCTGGAGAGAATTGTAAAGCTGTACCTTTCCTTTATAAGTATGATAAAACTAAAGACTTTTTGGAGATATGAAGGATGCAGTACTACTCTATTGGTACTCAAGATTAACATGAGATTGGGTGAAACTGTGTGTGTTATGCCCCCTTTAAATTAGTCGAGTTGTGCTGTAGCTCCACCTTTCATTCTATATCTTCCTACCAGTGCCATCACTCGGGATTCTGGGCCCCTTCTCAGTTGGGCCGCCCAAAGGACATCGTTGGTCACCAACACACCTGCTTCCTACCAAGACCAGATAGACAGCAACATTATGTTACATACAGTTCCCACATGTGCACCTAAATAATCTATAACAATGACGCTGCAATCACGTCTTATAACTACCACAAACTAAGTTGACTCTTAACACTGGCTACGTTTACATGCACAATTTTTGGTTCAGTCGGACTGAATGTAGTGTTTACATGAACGCTAAATAAAGTGATTGGGTTGATGTGCGCGTTTATATGTCACAAGCTTCAAATCGGAATTGATTTTTTTTTACATGCGCACACTGCACAAATATAGAGTTTGTCACTGTTTGCACATAATAACCACTCTCCTACACGGTTTCTTTATTTGTTTTTAACAGCAGAATTATCCATTTATGGATAAATATACATATAAACCACTGTGCCGTGCTGCTCATATTTATCACGCAGTAAAAATGCCCCTCCCCGCGCCCAAAACGGGTTGCCTGTGGATGAGTATCCAAAACAAGGACTGGTGGGAGGTTGTCCTGCTCCACTTCACAGTTGCCAAGTGAAAGGAGAGTTTTATAATGACAGGACACGCATTTATACAACACTTTATTCAAAAGGAAGAACCGCTCGTTCTGTGCGTCATACGTCATTACGCTATTTCTGCATCTCTGCACATGCACAGTCCTTTCAGTTTCGGGGTTCAATCCGATCGAGTGTTCACATGCACTCTCAATCGTATTAGAAAAGGAATAAACCACCCCCTTCAATAGGATTGGAATTTCATTCCGATCGAGCTCAATCGGATCGATTACGGTGTTTACATGAAGGCTTTTTAGTCCGATTGAGCCGTCAATCCGATTACAAACGGATTATTGGGTTGCATGTAAACGTAGCCACTGAGAATCATCCTGCTCCAGTCTTGCTAGCGAATCAGTGTCTGGTTGATCAACTAGACATTTCATCATCAGACTCGGGCTCGAACTTATACGGTAAAATCGATACCATCTTTTCCCTCTATACATTCTCTCCGGAGCTGTCATTCAGTTATGGCAATGGGTGTTTCGTTTCTGACGCGCTGTATGTGGTAGACCAATGACAAAGGACTGGGCCATCTGACCAATCAGAGCAGAGTAGGCTCACAGAAAGGAGGGGTTTAGAGAACCTGATTTTTCGAACTGCTTCGTACGAATCATTGAGAAATGCTGTCAAATTAAATGTATATTATGAGAAAACTAAAGTGTTTTTGACCTTGCATGCATGTAAACCTGTTGTTGGAGCCTCTTAAAACAATATTAGGAACCTTAAAAATGACATAATAGGGGCACTTTAAGACACCTCGTTACATTACTGAAATTTTGGTGGAACTTTGCAGCCAAAATGGTTCATTGCCTACTGTCAATAGTATAGCGATGTATGAAGCACAGCTCACATAGAAATCACTTTCAAACCAAGCAGCTTTCGGTGGGTCAACGCAGTGTATCTACATAACCTGCTTGAACCCGTCGCAAAATCTGCGTGGGGAAATCTTTTGCCCTCGCGTGAAATTCCCAATCACGTGGGTTCCATTTGAAATGACTGGATTTCGCAAAAAAATGTTGCAAGAGCTTTTTCTTCTCTATTGTAACATCAGAGTGAAACTGCTTCTTGAACAAGAAAAAAATGTAGGGAGTTGATTTTGTCAACTGAGAATTGATTGGATAATTGGATTGTTGTCATTTGCTAATTAGTACGATCTCATGAGAGTAGTTTCTGGAGGGCAAGCTATATTGCCCAGCTTGGTGCACACGTCACCAGAGAAGAGATGTTGTTGTGAGGGGGAAGGAAAGGCAATTCCAGAATGCATCAGGATGAAAAAAAGTTAGGGATTGTAAATATTCTTTCAGTGCCAGTGTAAACTCTGATAATAGCTCAGTCTAATTTAAAATTGACTATTTAGAGCTAACTAGAGTATTGTGTTGTGTATGGTGTAGAGTATTGTAGAGTAGCTTAGCATCATGCTAACATGAAACTCCACTGAAATCAATTGTGAGTTGATTCTACCATACACTTCACATAAGAATTCACATCTTTTTTGCATTTGGACAACATTCTAATCTGTCACTTAAGAGGTTAGATAACAGATAGGATGTTGCTTTGGTAGACAGCTGTCAATCGGCAGTAGACAGCATGGAAGCTCACTATGTTTTGAAACAGAGTTTAAGTATGTGTGTTTGCAAGTGATCCCAACTGGGAGCATTACTGTTTGCTTTCTGTGAAATGTTTGAAGTTATAGAAGATAAAGGAAGTTTGATCAAATGACTAATGGTTTGTTTTCGTGACCTATGTTGCTGGTTTTTCTAGAAGAGCCGCTCCTTAATGTCTCTATCTCGAATGACGCTCTGAGGTTCATTCGTATACTGCGACCCCTGCTCTCTGATCTCCATGCGGGAAAAAAGCAAAGTCTGTTTCATTTCAGACAGCGATTAATAGGGTGAATATATATATATTTTTTTAAAAGGTACATTTTATTACGTTACTCCTAAATGCATAACTTATGGATTAATGGCTGGAATAAACTCATTTGTGCGGTCTC